GGGAAGGCCAGCATTCTGGCAGAAAATCTAGATGTAAGTGAGGCCCAGGAATGCTCAGGGATGTTTAACTTTCATAGCTGTACACATCTTGCTGTGACAAACACCTTTATTCTTATGATATCATTAAGAAAAATGACTTTGCAGTTGCTAGAGTGAAAATATCTAACCTAAGCATATTTTCACATTCTTTTTTACGATTAATTTCAAGAGAACAACACAATAATAATGATCACCTTGGCTAACATTTATTGAGCTTACTACTGTACATGTCAGGCTTTATGCCAAGAGTTTTATATACATGATCTAGTCAATCCTTAAAACCTTCCTTTATTACTGGCTCCATCATACAGATGGGGAAATGAAGGCTTAAGAAGATGAGGCAATCGCTCAATGTTACACAGCTAGAAGGAAGCGAAGCTGGGCCCAAATACATACAGTCTGGCTTGAACCAGAAGCCTCAGCCACTCTGCTCCACTACTGGATGTAGTATTGTCGATGGGAGATCTCTTAGACCTATGGTTATTGCATGGCACTCACATCATCTTATTTAGTTTTCCTACCAATCCTGGGGGACATTTACTTAGCTTTTGCTACTTCGCAATAAAGACCAGACACAGTGATGTCAAGGAAGCTGTTTTGCAAAGCCACACAGCCAGTAAGTGGCTGATCTTGAGCCCCAAATAATACTTGATGAACCCAGAGTCCTTGACTTCTCTGGGTCAAGCCCTCTGATAATTCTTTTTATAGCAATCTGTGACTGACCACAGTTGTTTTTCTACAAACACCTGTGTACCACATGATTATCTCCCCAACTAGAGGGTGAGCTCTGTAAGGGCAAGGTGCATGGTGAGTCTTGCTCATTTTTATGCCCCATCACAAAGTAGGTGTCCAGTTAACATTTATGGATTGATTGCATGAATGATGGCTCTTCTAGAGGCACAGAGCTGGACTTAGCAGGTACTGGGCACACACCCCAGCTCCTTCAGCCCCACTAAGGCACATTCTAAGGCTCAGGATTTTGTGCTCAGCCTGTCCTGACTTCCGGGACCATAGAAGGATGTCAGTGCCTGATCACCGTAGCAGGTGGGACCTGGAAATACCTTTGCCCATAGCTTTGCCTTTAAGCGCACACATAATGCTGAGGGTCTACCTACATCATTCTTCCTTCTTCCTGGCAGGAAACGCCTGTTTTTAAATAATTAATTAATTTATTTATTGATACCGGGGATCGAACTCGGGTCTGTGCACTTGTGAGGCAGGTGGCAGAACCACTGAGCTAAATCCCTAGCCCCTATATTTTTTATTTTTAACTGACACATTAAAATATATTTTACTTTTCAATGACATAAAATGAAACATATTTTACTTTTAACTGGACAGAATAATTGTTCATAATGGGGCACAGTGTGACATTTCAATTTATGTATGCAATGTGTAATGATCAGATCAAGGTAATTGGCATATCTATCACCTCAGATATTTATCTCTTCTTTGAGTTGAGAACATGCAAAATTCTTTCTACTAGCTATTCTTTTTTTTTTGGTCCTGGGGATCTAACTCGGGTCCTTGCACTTGGGAGGCAGGCGCCTGAACCACTGAGCTAAATCCCCAGCCCTCTACTAGCTATTCTGAAGTATTGTATACAATTGCTGTCAATTTTAGTTATCCCACTAAATTATAGAACACTAGAATTTGCTTCTCTTATCCAATTGCACCTCTGCACCTGTTCACTGCTCTCCTCTCTCCTCCAAACCCTTTCCAAATTCTGGTAACCACTATTCTGTTTTCTTCTTCTTCTTCTTCTTCTTCTTCTTCTTCTTCTTCTTCTTCTTCTTCTTCTT